AAAAAAAAAAAAAAAAAAAAAAAAAAAAATATATATATATAGCTCAGCGAATTAAGAGATAGCGGCTACGCTGGCTAGGTCATGTCGCCCTCCCGCTCTGAAAGTATTGGAAAGACGGGTAGGGAAGGATCTGGCTACACTAATAATCTCTAATTGACGTTACACCGCGAAAAGGAAGAACGACTGGCGCGCAATTGTATACTCTGCAATAACCGCGTCAGTGGTGTCTACTCAATACAGAAGAAGAAGAGGAAGTTATAACCTTAAATTAGATCTCACTCGGACAGTTTAAGATATCGTTACGTGTGATACCTAAAATTACTTTGTATTGGGCATAAAGGTACTTATAATTCCACAAATTGTGCCCATCACAAATTAGTTCAGATGATTAATATCAGTTTGAGCTCGTTCTCAGCACCAATATGATTACCGAAATATTTCGGCATAAATCTACCGAAAATTGGATAACGGGGGAGAAAGTCTTGGATGTTTCCACCTTCCATCATACAAGTTGGAGAATTTGTATCCGATAAGATATGTAGGTGCACCGCTTAAATACTTATTGGACAATGACTAATAAGACTTTTTAGGATTGTGGCAATATTTTGCATAAAAGAGCTATTCGTGGGGACAATTGATTTTGGGATTTTGCAAACTCAATGAGTTTGCATTTTCCGGCCAAGAACAAAAATGAGTCTGACAATGAATTAACTGATATTCCTTGGCCAGTGAGAATACACATTCTTTGAACAATTTTGAACGTACACTGAGCGAGCTCAACGTCGGTAATGTCGCTTTGCTGTCGGCGTGAATGTTCACCTCACTGAAATAAGCTGCTCTTCAGAGCCTTTAATACTACATTGATGACTTCTCACTTAGTTTTAACACACCCGTGAAAAAGCCGACTATACCTCTACCCTAGGTGACTTTATTTGGCCCACATATACTTCGCCTTAGTCAAAGAAGAGAATTCCAGAATGTCTTTTTTTGGTGACTTTTATATACTCAGCTGCTATGAATCATACAGCGACTTTACTTTTACTTAAAATTTTCAATATATTCATCGTATCAACTCATTGTATATAAAACACTGCTTTGTTGTATGATGTCAACTAAAATTGATTTGAATACATATATTGAGAGAATGTAGTTTTTATCCGATGCTTTGAGTAAGAAATATCTTTTTCGTAGCTTTACAAAAATGAACGAATTTGGTCTATTTTGAATAGAAGAACTGGCTGTACATATATTGAAAATAATCGAAATTTTTCAAATTTAAGATCTAGAACCTAAAGACATAATCAATATACTTCTAAATTAAAACCAACTTCATTTATTTCATTACTAAGTACAATTTTTATGAAATCAAAAAGTGTCATATTGATATGAGTTACTCAATTCTAAAATGCAATTGTGAGTAATAAAACCGAAATAACTTACTCATTTCGAGCTTTAAGAAGGTTGAAATTCATGTGGCGTGGGTATAACCCAACCACAAAAGGCGGCTTCTAATTCACGAGCGATTTG